GCATATATGTTTGACAGTTTCAAGCAAGGTTCCTTACTCTCTCCTTGAGTGCACTCATTTGAACTGGAAGCGATAATTGTAAGCCAGATTTTGGAATCCACAGAATTTGTTGCTTATATAATGAAGGACTCAGGCATTGAGCTAGAAGCTTCCCCCCTCCCCCCTCGGCTAGAGCTGGGGAAGCGACAGCCTTTTTCGTTGAAACAAACTAGGTATTGATTTCCCCCACATAGGTTGGGAAGCGACAGCCTATTTTTGTCATCGACAAAAATATGCCACGACCCACGACCACTGGAATCAATGTGCAACACAGGGTCATTGATTTTGTTGACCCTCGTACCAACCCAATGGTGTAATATTTAATCATATTACACTTGCAGAACTTCAACAAATTTGATTCCATTCAGTTATTGGATGCTTGCGAATTTTACTAGTTTCTTTTTTTTTAAATCCTCTAGTATTTTTATTTTTCCGATAACGAAAAGTTGGAAAATAAATTCTCATCCGATCGATTACAATAGGTTGCTTCGCAACCCAAAAAAAGGCCGCTAAAGTATCTGCTGGAGAAAGGGTTGTCTGGCTGAGCGTATCACCATTCGCAGCCTCAGCACTGTTCTCGCTGAAGCATGACAGATTACCGATCACATATCCGCGTGACAATTTGGTCACGTTACTTGATCCCGCCCGCACGCTAATGAACTCTTTGACCAGCTTTCTTAGGCGTGTTAATTTCCAAAGATCGACCTCACGAAGGTTACCATTAGATATGGTTCGCAATGGAGGGCTGCCACAAAACTGCCTTCAGAACCAGAGACGGCTTGTAAGAGTATACAGTGATGCCATTCGGGCTGACCAACGCCCCCCTACATTCCACATGACGATGAACGGAGTGTTCCGGTCTTTGCTCGATAAGTGTGTTATCATCTTTGTGGATGATATCCTTATCCACTGCACCATTTGAGAAGAGCACTTGTTAATAGTCTTCACGCAACAGTGAGAGCAACAACTAATTACCAAGGGATCTAAGTGCAAGTTCTCGTGCACGAAACTAGAATGTATGGGCCATGAAATCTCCGACTACAGCAACATAATATCCGACTACGGCAACGAAATAGACCGTGGAAAACTAAAACCATTCGCGCCCGGAACGTGCCTACAAACATGGCCAAACTTTAGAGCTTCATGTGGTTGGTGAAGTACGCTCAAAGATTTGTTCCAGACATGGCTAGGTTATCTTCCCCATTAACAGACCTTCTACGGAAGGGGACCAATTATGCGTAAGGAGAGAGATAGAGCAGACTGCTTTTTCTGCCTAAAAAAATCGCCTCTACTCCCCACCAGTGCTGCGCCTTGCTGATCCTTGCGGTCCGTTCGAGTTGGTTACGCACGTAAGCAACATCGCCATCAGCGAAGTTCTGCTGCATGATTTCGGCAAAGGCATGCAGCCAGAGGCATGAGTCGCAAGAGCTTCACCTGCCGGAGAATAACTAACTCAGTACACGTCAAGGAGATGTTGACAATCGTGCACAGCTTCAAAGTGTGGCGCTGCTATTTGACGGGTGCCGACGTCATAGTGAAGACATATCACAAGTCACTACAGTACGTGCTAGCTCAGCCACAGTTAAACCCACAACAGATGCGTTGGCTTGAGTTCCTCGAGTCAAATTTATTGGTAGGGTTGGACTGGTTTGGGCTAGATCGACTCGCTATGGGAGGAATTTTGGTTTCAAAATCATGTTGCATTCACCCTCGGGTCGACTTCGTCCTTCGTTCGGTTTCGCGTTCAGTTTGACCTTGTTTTGAACGACATTTTCTGCTGGACATTTATGCAATTTGTTTATTTTTTTACGGGCCCTCATTGGCTCAGCTGCAGCTTCAAGGCTTGCCATGGAAACCTCGCGCGATGCCATGGCTTCATTCCCTCGCGTCCAAGTGCCTCTATTTGCTCATCCGACTTCCCCCAGTCAGATGACAGCTTAGATAGCCGTTTCGAAGGAAAGGGGCGAAAATGTGTGGCGAATTGGGAATGGATCGCTCGCTTGAACCCACGACCTACCTTAGGATCGTCCACAGGACCGCCTCTTCTTGACTGGTAGCCTCGCGACAAACCATGCTGCATTAATCTACTGTTGATCCGATCAGCCAGACCCCTTGCCGCGTTGCGAGCATGTCATCACGTCCCTCAGCCGTGGAGCCGTGAAGCCACAAAGCCGTGAGCATGAATCTGATGCCTTTCCCCTTGTTGAATTGGAGCCTCGTGAAGCCTTACACGCATTTTTTGCTGGGCCGCATACCGCGGGGCGCGTGGCGGGTGATGGCGGGGATGGCGTGGGTGGCGGGATGGGTGGGGCTGTGCGCGTGGGTGGAGTGGTTCGCACATGTGCAGGCCGCCCGCACTGGTTGGGCCACGCGCTGAACTCACTCACTCGCTCAATATCTCAACCACGCTACTAGACGCTACCTGTGGCGCATTTCACCCATAAATACTTCGCATGTATCGTTCGCTAAGTGATTATGATTCACGTTTTCCGCAAAGCTTCCTCCTTGCTACTAGGCCATTTGGCTACACCCCTAACCCTAACGTGGATCCTAACATCCCTCAGGTTCCTATCAGGTAGCATGGGGAGAGTTAACGCAAAAAAAACATGGTGAGTAAGCCAGAGGTTATTATCAAGGAATGCTACAGTCCCCTTGAGTGTAAGGATTTTGTGGCTCTGTTGTATCTCCGCATTAACTCTTCGTGCTGCACCAGCATTCTCTTAGGTTCTCTCAGGTTTCTCATCTTCATCCCTCAGAACATGAACTTCTGTCCTCTCCCCACTCACCCCGCCCCCCTCCCCTCTTCTTCCCCCCCTTTTGTTCCCACCAAGTTTTTTCCTGCCAGGTGTGTCCCTTCACCCTAATGGGGGCTTCCTGGGCAAGAGGGGAAGGGTGGGAGGGGGAGACTGGAAGAAGGGCCATGTTGCCTTGTGCGGTGCTGCATGCTGGTTGCCGGGCGAATCCAAGGGCGGGCTGGAAGGTGGGAGTGTGTTTCAGTATGAGAAAACATACTCAAACTGAGGAAGCTCTAACAAGGTGAAAGATGTTGAGCGTCGCGACGCGGTGCGTGAATGTGCTCCCTGCAGGAACACATTGGCCAGGCTGACCACGTTGACCAGGTTAACGCCCTTCTCGCACAACACACCCATCAGCTCCACCTTCCCCAGTGAGGCCTAGAAACTTTCCCCCATGCAACACCCCTCCCTTCCCTGGCCTGGCCCCCCTGGGCGTGCAGTGGCACAGCTGCGAGGAGGGTGGGGCGACCTTCAATATGGGATGGGGGTAGGGACAGGTTCAGGGGGCTGAAGAAATAGACCCAGAAGGGACAGGCCACCCTGGCGACCCTCACCATGGGAGGGGGCTCAGCGCGGCCTGCAGCGTGGAAGGGACAGGCACAGGGCAGAGGGGATGGATGCAGGGCAGAGAGGATGGACACAGCATTGCCACTCCCTCTCTCTCCCCAGCATTGCCACCCCCTCTCTCTCCCCAGCATTGCCACTCCCTCTCTCCCCAAAATTGCCACTGTTAAGCTACAGTAAGTACACTAGGCGGCCATGAATGGAGGCGAGAGGGTTTAGCTAGGAGAAAAATATCGAGAGAGAAAAGTGACGAGAATAGAAAAGAGAGGGATACAAGGAGGGGGTTGTACCCTCTACAGTAGGTTTCGGCAACAGCTACCAAGCCTACAATTATACATAACAAACATATAATTTAACACACCCCCTAGGCTTGGTAGCGGCAAGCCCACCCAACATGCAGCACCCCCACATCCTTGCACCCCCATGCCCTGCAGCAGGAGCAGCGGTCCAGCGCGGCCGACCTCTCCACGTGTGAGGCGGTGACGTCAGCGTCGAGGGCTGCGGTGGCGACAGCAGCAGCGGCGGCAGTGACGACAGCAGCGGCGGTGGCGGCGTGCAGCGGCAAAACGGGCCAGCGGCAACAGCGGCAGTGGCGGCGGCTTCGACAACAGTGGCGGCGGCGGCATAGCCCGCACCACTCGGAGGCGTGGCCGACCATCGAGACAGTGGGAAGATTCCCGTGAGTCAGCCGTCAGCTGCAGCAGGGACGAGTGGACGCATGGGGCGGGGTTTCAGCAGCGGAGCCACGGAGCAAACTGCCCCGTGTGGCACGCTGGCTGCATGCAGGCGTACTGGCCGGCGCTAAACCAGCGCCCTGGCCACAGCCGTCCGTCGCCATGGCAGGACGGGGGCGCTGCCACAGTAGCGCGACGAGGACGAGAGGAAGTGCGAGAGGAAGTACGCAGTGGAAGCGAGAGATGACGGTCCAGCAGGATCCTCCTGCTCTGGTACCATGTCAAAACTCAGCCACTAACCACTGATTTAAAAGGGCTTGTTAATAGCGGGTCAATGCGCCCATAGCCCCCCAGGATTTGCACCTGTGGCCCTTCCCCGAGGATCTTCTCAAGGGTAACCCCAGCGGGTCTCTCGACACCCCCCCTCGCTGGGATAGGCGGAGGACACAAGCGCCTCTGCAGCGCTAGCACTAGGAATTGAACCCGAGTCACCAACGCTCTGATACCATGTCACTAGGCGGCCATGAATGGAGGCGAGAGGGTTTAGCTAGGAGAAAAATATTGAGAGGAAAAAGTGACGAGAATAGAAAAGAGATGGATACAAGTAGGGGGTTGTACCCTATACAGTAGGTTTCGGTAACAGCTACCAAGCGTACAATTATATATAACAAACATATAATTTAACAGCCACTCTCTCTCCCTCCCCAGCATTGCCACTCCCTCCCTTTCCCCAGCATTGCCATTCCCTCTCTCTCCCCATCTGCGCCTGCCCACGCATGTGCTTCTCTAGCAATGCCTGCGCCACACATTGTGTCTCCTCCTCCCTTATCCAGCCACTCCTTAAAGCCATCCTGCATGAGACTTCGGATCTCTATGTTGTGTTCAGGTGTAGCTTCTTTCATATATTTAACAGGACGCCATGTTTGCTCCTCTAAAAATCCCTCGTTCTGAATCATGTTCCGCCCAACCCAACAGAGTCTTGCAATTTCAACAACCAAGGTAATCTGGCTGTCTCCATCTCATAACTTTAACCGTCTGGGTGCTACATATCTATCATCAATCTGTACTTGTTCCAAATGCTACGTGGCTGTACCTTACCCTCACTGTCAAGCAACTGTTTGCACCCTTGAATACCCAAATACAGCAGCGCACTAAGGTCCGTCAGATCGCCAGGCAGAGCCTCCAGCTGCTTACAGCCATGCAGACTGAGCTCCCGAAGCCTAGACAACTCAGCCAGGCCAAAGGGAAGGGAGCGAATGGCGGTGTACGAAGCGTCCAAGTCATGGAGCAGAGCCAGCTGGGTGAGAGAATCTGGAAGATGCTCCAGCGCACTACAGTTTGACACGCTCAGCTTCCGCAGCTGGGATAAGCAGCCCAAGGGACTGGGGAGGCATGCCAGCTTGGGTGCATGGCAAACCTCCAGGGACGTCAGATGCTGCAGCTCAGAGAGAGCGGGCGGCAGCTCCCTCAATCTGTCATCATGGTGGATCGCCAGGTGTCGCAGCTGCTGCACGACCGCACCAGGTGCTTTCAACTCATGCTTCAGGATCTCTCGAATGCTTCTAGGGCTGAGCGGCCACAACTGGGAAAGAAACGCCAGCGGTAGCCCCATGGTGGCACCTTCTGCCCTGTGGCAGACCATACCCACATGAGTCTGATGAGACCCACTCCTACCACCCAGCAGCCTGAATGTCAAACTCCTAAGCTTCTGCAGCGCCGATAGATCCGGCAGGGAGATGGCACGCTTGTAGCTGTCCTGGCTCAAGGCCTCGAGAGACGAGGGCAGCGACTCAAAGGTCCCAGCCAGCCGTGCACATCCGGTAACCTCCAGCTGCGTGAGCCTCGCCAGATGATGCAGCCGCCTGGGGAGCGAAGTGAGGCTGGCGCAGTTCCCAACTGTGAGGACTCGGAGGTCTGTCAGGCATGTCAGGGATCCCGGCAGCTTCCGGATCGGACAGGTGTGGATGCGCAGCTGCTGCAGGTTGCTAAGCGCTTGCAGTTCCCACACAAGTCCTTCCATCCGACAGCTGTCCACTTCCAGCCGCTTCAAGGAGGGCAGCTGGGTGAACGAGGGTGGGAGCGGTTGGCCGCCATAGTTCCTCAAAACCAGCGTTCGGAGGTTGGTGAGCACTCCAATTCCCTCTGGAAGCACGATGCGATCTGGCTCCTGCGGACCGATGTACCGGCGAGGAATGAGGAGGAGGAGTGACTCCAGGGAGGGCAGCTGGCAGAGGGAGTCCGGGAGGTGCTGCAGATGCAGCTGGTCCAGCACGAGTGCTTTCAGCGCGGTCAGCTCTCCAAAGTTTTCGGGCAGGCTGGAAAGATTGCTGCATCTGGAAAGTGTCAGGCTTTCTAGGCAGCTGAGGGAGGTGAGGTTTCTAGGGAGCTGGGTGAGGGAATAGCAGGAGCGGATGGTCAGCTGACGGAGGCACGGGAGAATCTCTCCTAGGGCGTCAGGGAGGTGATGCAGCTCGTCACAATCAGTGATGAGCAGACGCTCGAGATGATGGCACGGGTATTCCCGAGGGAACATGAGCTCGAATTGAGGACACTGTTTCATGAACTCCAGAGACTTCAGTCGGGAAAGTTGCGCGATGAAAAATGCACCTGGTCGCCGACCACTCTGAAAGAGAAAGGTTTGGTCAGCCACTGACAGGCTTGTCAGGGTTGGAAGACGAGCGAGGCTGGAGAGCTGCTCGTAGTCAAGCTCCCTGGACGCGATATGGAGAGCGGCTAGGGAAGAAAGGTTTGCGAGCCCAGGAGCGTCAAGTGCTGACGCGTCTGTCAGAACGAGCGTGTGCAGATGCGCTAGCTGGAAGAAGGACGGGGGTAGGGTGACGTCGTGATGGAGGCAGCAGAGAGACAGCTGCTCGAGCCGAGTGCACCGGCGGAAGAAATGATCCAAACCGGCGTCGGTTATAGGGTGCTCGAATTTCCACGAATCAGAAACGACCTGTGTGATCCCCCGTCCCACGTGGAGAGCCGTCAGCTTGGGGCATGACGAGGCAAGGTGAGCGAGAAACGCATCGTCTAAGGTTTCCACGCTGCCGTCGCACAGATGGAGATGGGTGAGGTGCGGGAAGGAGAGGATGGCGGTGGAGATATCCTGGAGGGAAACGATGCTGTCTTCTTTAACGAGAAGCTTCGTGGCAGATCGCTGGGAGAGCCGGCGCCAAAGACGGCAGACGGATGCGGTGGGAGGGGTTACGACGGCATCAGGAGGAGTTGGAAACGGTTCTCGGTATTCTACACAGGAATCCTTCTCAGCTGTGCTGGATGCACAGAGGGACGCGAGATCGGGGTTCACGAACGGCCATGGAGCGTCACTTTCTGATTCGAAAGGGGTCTTACTAGAATTCCGTAAAATCCTGACAAGAATATCGTCAGGAAGGGCGTTGATGTTTGTGCAGACCTCCATCTCGAGAGTGGAACGACTGAGAGCCAAAAAACGGGGAGGGAACGACGGGAGTGGTGTTCTTGTTGAGTCCTGAACGTATGGTGCGGGACTGGAAGACGCCAGAGTTCAGCTCTACCATCGGTCGTGTAAGCTGGGGCGCTATTCTACGCGAGGCGAGTTTGGCGATGCCTAGGTCACTCCAGAATCTAGATCTTGTGTTCTTGGGTTTCTCCCCGCTTTTTGACAGGGAATAGCCCCGAGGGCTCTTTAGGGCGTATCGTTTCATGAAAGAGGGTCAGCTCGGCATTGAAACAGAGAGTGCTGGCTCAAAGCCGTTGTCCGTTTATTTTCACTTATACTGGCTAACGAGCGAGGACATGCTATCTTGTACTCAGACTTAGCTGAACATTGGAGCTGTTTTGGGACCGAATTTCAGTTACCGATGTGTTTGCTTCACGTTTGGTTCGGGATCCACTGTGTTGGACACCAGTTCCAAACAGGAAATGCCAGCCCAAGAGTTCACCTTCCTGAGGAAACCAAATCCTCCATATCAGACTGCAGGCTCCTGTCACTCCACGACAACAAAGCGGGTGATTTAGATTGATCATAGCTCCCTTCATAGGTGACCACCTAGGAATCTTTGAGTACAAAAATAAATTGACAATTAGGTACGAAAATTGCATAAAATGTTAAAATATGGATCCGGTACAATATGAATCCGTTACATGAATATTTTAATACTATTATGAGAGTGGAAATCTGGCTGCCCTATTGTTAGCTTGGAAATGTTTGGACTGGGCTGATGGTGATGACTCTAATATCGAAACCACCTAAGACCATCCAAGCTTCCTGGGGAAGGTCGCTGCATGCTGAGGGCCAGGTGCAACGCAATCTCCATGCAAGGACTTCCGGACTCGTGTCTTCTACCCATTCCATGGGGTCCCTCCCATCAAACCCAAGGCCCACCTTGTGGTTCGTTTTGTAACACCGTTTCATCAGAATTCTGCTCGCAACGAATCACGTGATACTATTCCTTTACTGGGCTTTTTCGTCTCGTCAGCCCACCTCGCGTGTGATTCGACATCACGTGGTTACAGTTGACACACTCTTCGCTGGCAAGCAGGCAAGCCCTCGCCGTCATGCTTTTGAGCTCCACAAAACCTCCCCCCTCCTCTGCCTGGTGGCTCTTCCACTCGAGTCTGGTGATTATAAGGAATATGAACGGTACAGTACGGTTGACGTGCGTTTCAATATGAACCAGTGATCACGATGATGAACCAGTATAATTCCTGTTAACGATGTCCGCTTTCTTGATGACTCCATTCTGTTCTTGATTTCTGTTGCTTCACCTCGCAACCGCAACCCAGCGGAGCCGCGTCAGTCTGCACTCACGTGCTGCTCTCGCCACGAAGAGTTGCCATACGAACGTGCTCTGCGCCATGCTGAGCCAGCTGCTGCGTTTCTCCTGCTTCTTCCTGCTCTACGGCAGATGAGGACTCGTCAACGCTCGCTCATCGGAGGAAGTCGCCTCGATTTTCGCTGCAGCTGCTTCTAATTTCTTTCCGCTGACTTGTGCTTTCAACTGCTTCCGCTGCGTCCGCTGACTTGTGCCTTTCTTGCAAGAAACTCGCTCGCGCCCCATCGACCATCATGCTGCAACCTTACCGAGTTTTCCAAGGCAATAATGCTTCGTGGAAAGCATTTCAACCTTCCGACCCTTTCATTTCGCCGCGAAGTCTGTCCTTTTCGTGTCGTTCTTCCGCGAGCTGACAGAGCAACTCTTTTTTCTTCTTCCAGCGATAATACCGCATACAAGGTTCTTCCTCAAAAGGTAGCTGAATAATACCGCTAAAAGTCCCCACAGACAGCCGCTCCGTTCCCCAGCGGTACTACCGTTTTTCTAGTAAAGAAGTATATCCTCCTCCGGTGCCAGCCATAATGGCGGCTGCTCTCGTGCTTTTGCTCCTGCTGTTTGCCACCCCAACCTGTAAGCACACATCATACACGACTACCCATATTCTGTTCTTTGGAAGAAACGCACATTGCACTTTCAATAGTCACGTGCTCTAAGCCATCTTTTAGATCAGGGTTCACCTTCCCATTATTCATCCAACATGCAAGATCCTCTATAATTCTTTCCTCCGTTGAGATGTCTGAGTACGAGCTTCCCACTCCTTAACTATTCCCACTTCCCCCTTCATCACCCCTCCCTGTTCCCCCCTCCCCTCCTCCCCGCCCACACTCCCCCCTCCCCAACCTCCCCATATCATAACGTGCAGCATCCGCCATAGATCTGCAAGACGGGCTCCTCAATGCCAAAGCCGTTGGGAACTTCGTCGGTAAGCTGCTCTGCTTTGCTCTGCTCTGCTGCCTTCGAAAGGCCGTGGTGACTTTAGGGTTGACTCAACTGTCGACTTGCAAGACAGACGGGCTCCTCGATTCTGCCGCCGTTGGACGTCCACTTGGCTCACTCAGCCAATCAGCGCCCAATCCGAACCCATCATTTTGTTGGGAACCCGAGCCCAATCTGCCCCCGCCTTTTATTATTATTATTATTATTATTATTATTATTATTACTATTATTATTATTATTATTCCGTTCCCGTCGTTCGTAACTACGATTGAATATCCTCCAACCCGTCCTCTCCTACTCTGCTCTTCCGTCTCTCCTCCTCCCTGCAGCCCATCTGGAGGCGCCTCTCTCCGCCTGTGCTGATGCCACGGGTCAAGCAAGCGGGGGGGCGGGTCTGTTCGTGCTGGACGTCTTCATGTGAGTCTCCTGCTCTCAGGTCCCATCGTCCCCCATGGCACGGGCAGCACCACCTCATGCTCGTGCACCTGAGTCGGCCCAAAGAGGGTCTGTTCGTGCTGGACGTCTTCATGTGAGTCTCCTGCTCTCGAGTCCCGCATGGCAATTGTAGCAAGCGTTTCAACGTTTCTTGGTGCACGCTGGTGCATCTGAGACGGTTCAAAGAGGGTCTGTTCGTGCTGCGCGACTTCATGTGAGTTTCCTGCTCTCGAGTGCATGTTACATCGTTACGTCTGTTAGACAATCGCCTAGGTGTTGCCGTTACTGCCTGCACTGCTGCCCTGGGAGTGTGCATCGAATCCCATGCTTCCCCTGTCTCTCCTTTCCTCTGTCTCTCCTTTCCTCTGTCTCTCCTTTCCTCTGTCTCTCCTTTCCTCTGTCTCTCCTTTCCTCTGTCTCTCCTTTCCTGCACTCACAGGAACGCAACGGGCAGCTTCAACCTGCTCTTCTCAGCGTCGCTCATGGGGACCTCCGGCCCGCTCCCAGACTCCCTCGGCCTCGTTTTGACTGATGTGTGCGCGCCTGTTGCTGCTGCTGCTTCTGGTGCTTCCTCTTTTCCTGCTCCGGTGATTTCTTTCCCTCTGGGGCAGACCGGCTGGGTGGAGCACAGCGGCTGGTGGCTCAACAAGAGGCTGCTTGAAACGGACGGGCTGGTGGCTTGTAGCGAGGATGAAGTGGGGTACTTGGAGGGGCTGCTGAACGTAACGCCGGAGATGACTGGTGGTGATGACGGGACGAGCTATGACGAGGATGCAGACACTGGGACTGAGGGAAGTGTGGATGGGGGGGCGGTGGGCGGTGGTGTGGCAGGTGATGGTGATTCGAGCAGCAGTGGGGGAGTGCAGGACGGCACGGGGTTGGGGGGGAGCACGGGGGCAGGAGGAAGCACGGGGTCAGGAGGAAGCACGGGGACCGAGGGAGATGGGATCAGCGGCAGCGCTATGGCAGCACGCAGCAGCAGCAGTAGTAGCAGCAGCAATGGCATGTGGGAAACTCCTCCTGGTGGTGACTCGGCTGGCAACTCGCTGGATGAAACCTTTTACCAAGGTCTGCTTGCTCCCTATCCTCGCCCCATCTACTGAGTCTGCAACCTTAATCTGATCTAAGAATGCAAGAATGCAAGACTCTGCAGGCGCCAGTCCGTTTCCTGCTTCATACGGTGCATTGTGTCGTGAGAAAGGATCAGATAATATTGTGCGCATTCTCCATATGCGTTTGCGTTTCCGTTTTCCTAGTCACTTGTTTTCCCTTCTCCGTCTCCGTTGCATCCCCCTGTCCTTCTCTTTACTGCAGGAGGCACCGCCCAGCCATTACGTCGCAGGCTGCTGTCTGCCCATCGCAATCTGCCTCGGTTGATGCCTGTGTGTCTCTATCTGTGTGCCACAGTCCCCCGCACTGCGCTGTGCCGAAACGCGCGTACGCTCTCTTGGAAGACATGGTCGAATCTGCCTCGGTTGATGCCTTGGTGTCCCTATCTGTGTGCTGCAATACCTCCCCCGGTGTCCATAGACAACCAAAGCTCGTACCGCCCAGGCGTTGGGTCGCAGGCTGCTCTCTGCCCGTCACAATCTGGCTCTTGGGCAACTCAAGGGGCAGCAGGAGGGTGCATCATGTGTGTGCTGGCTTGTGTTTCCCGTTTCCTTCTCATCTGTTTCTTCCCCTCTTGTCTTTCCCTTTACTGCAGAAGCCACCGCCCAGCCCTTGGGCTGCAGGTTTCTCTCCCACCAGTGCCATCTCGCACATGCTGGGTACTGCCAGCCCGGACCGTCTACCCTCCGCAACACGGGTGAAGTCTCGGGCGCTAGGGGGTTTCCCCCAGGGGCTCGCAGGTGGATCGGCGTGGGAAAGGGGGCCTGGTTTCCTCCTGGGATCTCCTTAAAGCCCCCCCAAAAAAAAAAAAAAAAAAAAACCAGTGCCATCTGGCTGTTGGGGACCTCAAGGCGCAGGTGGATGATGATTCCAATGAGGGAATGCTCGCATCTTTTCCTCCCCACTCTCGTGTCTGCTTGTCATTCTTTTTCTCCCATTGCAGAAGCCACCGCCAAGCCGTTGGGTCGCAGGCTTCTCTCCCACCAGCACCATCTGGCTCTTGGGGACCTCAAGGGGCAGCTGGAGAGGGCAGTGTACCCTATGTATGCTGGCTTGTGACCCCCTTTTCCTTCTCGTTTGTTTTCTCTCCTCGTCCATCTGTTCGCTGCAGAGACCACCACCAAGCCTTTGGGCCGCAGGCTGCTCTCCACCCGTCGCCACCTGTCTAATGGGGACCTCCAGGAGCACGTGGAGAGGAGGGCGTACCATGTGTGTGCTGGCTTGTAACCCCCTTCTCCGTCTCGCTTGTTTTCTCACTGCAGAGACCACCACCAAGCCGTTGGGCCGCAGGCTGCTGTCGACCCGTCGCCACCTAGCTCTTGGGGCCCTCAAGGAGCAGCTGGAGACTGCCTGGAAGAACCTGGGCGACAAACTCAGGGGAAGTCTTCCCAGGAAGAATGGCAGCGCAGGGAGTGCTGCTGGTGCTGGTGCTGCTGCTGGTGCTGCTGCTGGTGCTGGGTCAGCGGCAGAAAGTGCTGTGACGTACCAGATCTTGGTGTCAAGCAAGCAGAGTGGGGCAGCGTGGGGCGGTGTGCTTGAAGGGGAGAAGCTCCCTGACCTCGTGATATGATGTTGATGCTGCTGGTGCTGGTGGTGCTGGTGGTGCTCCTGGGAAGGCTGGTCAGCAAAAAGGGGCAGGCAGAGGCAGGGGTTGGTGTGACGCACCGTACCAGATCTTGGTGTCGAGCAAGGAGAGGGGGGCAGCGTGAGCGGTGTGCTCCAAGGGGAGAAGCTTCCGGGTCTTGTGATGTGATATTCCTGATCGGGGTAATCATACCAGCACGGGGTTGCTCGTACCATACCAGATACTGGTTCAATAAGGAGCAACTGGAGAAGCGTGGGGCGGGCTATTTTGGGGGTAAAGCAGGAAGGGTGTGGGGGAGGGGAAGGGGGTTCTGGATCAGTTCCAACCAATACCTACTGAATACGGTAGTCTTATGCAGTCCTCTTGGGGAGGGGAAGGGTAATCTTATCCACTTCGACTACGGTACCTGAGCCATGGGTGGGGTGGGGCTTGGTGAATGCATATGTTCTGTGTTTTGGCTGGTGCGTTGGGAAACTATGTGTGAATGGCAAGTTGAACCAATTACTGGTTGGAACGTACTGAACTAGGAGTAACTGTTCAATTATATATTTTGTTATATAATTGGTAGGCTTGGTAGGTGTTACTGAAACCTACTGTAGAGGGTACAACTCTCCTCCTTGTATTCCTCTCTCCTATTCTCGACCCGTTTTTCTCTCAACTTTCCTAGCCTAAAACCTCTCGCCATTTCTATGGCTTCCTACCGTTCCTAGCTACCTTAGTTTAACATGGTATCAGAGCAGGTCCCCCTTCCCGGGCCTACTCCCCACGCTTCCGCCGCGCACTCCTCCTCTCCCTCTCGCGCTGCCATGGCGGCCGCGTCGTGCTGCTGTGGCGGCGTCGTCGTGCCACGGCCGTCTCGACGCGCTAGCATGGCGTCGCACCGTCGTGGCGTCGACGTCCAGCCGTGGCGGCGTGACGGCGCTGTCGTCCCGTCATCGCAACCTCAATGTCCCGCCGCGGCATCGACGCCGCTCTATGACGGCGTCGTCGGGCTGCAGCCGGCCGCGCAACGCCTGTGACGCCGTTAAACCTGCTGCCCGCTCGCCAACCACGGGCGTGATTCTGGACCACGCCTTCCCCCCTCCCCCCCTCCTTCCCCTGCGTCCCCTCTTCCTTGCTACAGCCGTCGACTGCCTCATGAGGGCCTTCTCCACAGCCGATGAGATTGGCCATGCCGCCGAGAGGGTGGGGGCCGCTGCACTCGCCTCTGACATTGAAGCCGCCGCCCCCGCCGACGTTGCCGCTAGCCTGTTGCCGCCGCACGCTGCCGCCGCCATCGCTCTCGTCACTGCCGCGACTGCCGCCATTGCCATCTCCCGGGCCGTGGGTGTTGATGATTCCGAAGTCGTCGCGGCTGCTGCTGGGAAAGGGCGGGCTAGGTTAGGGGGTGTGGGTGTGTGTGGGCTTGATACTACCAAGCCTAGAGGGTGTGTTAAATTATATATTTTGTTATATAATTGGTAGGCTTAGTAGGTATTACTGAAACCTACTGTAGAGGGTACAACCCCCCTCCTTGTATCCCTCTCTCTTCTATTCTCGACCCCCCTTTCTCTCCTCAACTTTCCTAGCCTAAAACCTCGCGCCATTTGTATGGCTTCCTACCGTTCCTAGCTACCTTAGCTAAACAGTAACGAGCAACCAGATGCGTTGAGCTGAGAGCCGGTGAAATTGTAACCTTCTCCAACCCAACTACTGCACAACACACAGTGAAAAATTAGAAGACTTCTCAGTCGACTCAAAAGTCGATTGTTGGAAATGATAAAAAGGCATAAAAGACCGAGTCTAAAATTGCAAAGGGGGGGCTCAAGAGAGCCCCTCTTGATGTAGGGCACTCCTGTAGATTTTTTAAACACATAAAGTGAATGGAAAGATCTAGGGAAAATAATTGTTGCGGACTGTCCATTCATACTTTTGTGGACTGGCCATACTTTTATGGACAACACGTCGAACTTTTCCTTCTCCCATGGACATCTTCCATACTTTCGTGGACTCCGGGCCGAGCATACTTCTCTGAGTTAGAATTGTGTAGTAGAATGAGAGTATACAAGGGTATATAGCTAGTGGGTTGTACTCTCTATGGCATGACCCTATGTAGTCTACTAAACATACACCCATATATTTGACACACCCCCTAGACTACATACGGGCAGAGCCTGGTGAGAGACAAGCAACTCAAGGCGGCACTACTAGTCCAACCTCTGAGGCAGGGGTCTAAAGACCAGTCAAAAGAGTGTTAACAAGGCAAGAACAAGACCAGGGCGGCACTACTAGTCCAGCCACTGGGAGAAAGCCACAAAGCCAGTCAGGATACTATATAAAGAGTTATACACAATCAAGGACCTAGCAAATGAGGTGCTACTGGAACGAGACCAAGCTGTACACAATGCCGCTGATGATCTTTAGGCGCAAGCGCCTTAGTAAAGATATAAGCTGCGTTGGCACTGAAGGCCAAGTGTACTACGCGGGCCTGGCGAGGCTGCTGTAGCTCGCGCAGGAGGAAGTACCGCAGCTGGATGTGCTTCAATCTGCCCTCCAGTCAAGGCTCCTGACATAGGAGGATCATGGCCCTGTTGTCAGCGTACAGGACCGGGGCAGAGCTAGGCCGCTCACCTAAGTCTCTGAGCAAGAAAGTTAGCCAGCAGAGCTCCTGTGCAGCCATGACACCAGCGTAGATCTCAGCCTCACAGATAGACTGGGCAATAGACGACGAGCGGGTGGACCTCCACAAGACAGCACCTGCACCAAGGCTAAAGCAGTAGCCAAGGGAGGACCTGAGAATCTCGGCGTCGTCTGCCCAAGAAGCGTCTGTGTGCCCGGTAAGGATCACTGGTCTGCGTCCTCCTAGCAATAGCCCCATGCCCGATGTACTTGCTAGATAACACAGAACCCTCTTAGCTGCAGACCACTGCTGTGGTCAATGTCTGCCGAAGGCCACAAAGTGGGCCAGGATGCTGAGAGGGTATGCGAGATCTGGACGAGTGCAAGTCATCAGGTACTTGAGGCAACCCACCAGCTCTGCGTAAGGACCACTAGGCTCTACAGCCTTCTCCGGGACTGGAGCAGAAAGTTTGTAGTCTACTGGCAGAGGGGTGGGCTGTGCGGAAGAGAACTGAAGGCTGAACCTCTGAAGGACCTGGGGCATCAAGTGTGACTGTGTGAGAGTGATGGTGGGCGCTGCTCTGTCCCTGGAGATCTGCATGCCAAGGTAGCGGCGCAGCTCTTGTAGGTCAGTGCAGGTGTGTCTCCTCAGCAGCTCGGCCTTCACGGAGGCCAGCGCGTCTCTATCTGCAGTAGCAAAGACCAGATCGTCTACGTAAACAAGGATGTAGAACGGAGTCTTGCCGGAACGGACGAAGAGCGAGGGGTCTGCAGATGACGGGAAGAAGTGCAAGTCAGCAAGGGTAGCACGTAGCATGTCGTGCCACTCACGAGGCGCCTGGCGAAGGCCGTAAACGGGGCACCGCAGGAGCCACTGGGTCCAAGGGGGAAAGGTACCAGAGAAGCCCTTGGGGCGGCGCAGGTAGACCTGCTCGTGTAGACTGCCCTGGAGGAAAGCTATGGAGAAGTCGAGTGAGTGCAGCTCGTAGTCACGATGTGCTGCTACGTGTAGCAGTGCCCGAAGAGTAGTCATCTTCGGGGTCGGGGCGAAGGTCTGGAAGAAGTCAACCCCCTCACGCTGACTGATGCTACGAGCAACGTAGTGTGCCTTGAAGATAGGCAGCTCTCCAGGAGGGCGCTTCACTTTGAAGAGCCATCGGCCATCAACTACGTTCACCCCAGGTGGGGGAACAGCGTCGACAAAGGTACCGGTGGATCTCCAAGATGCCATCTCGTGCTCCATGGCAGCTATCCACTAAGTGGCCCAGGCATCTGAGGTGGCCTCAGCATAGGTGCGAGGGGTCGGGATGTCAAGGGCGTCTGGGTCACCCTGAGGGACTAGCAGCATGGAACAGAGATGGGGAGCGGTCTCAGCGCCGGTGCCACCCCCGAGCCCGCCGGGACAAGCCATGACAAGAGCCCCAGGACTAGCACCCTCTCCAACTCCAGGCAGTGAGCTTGTCCATGCAGACGCATCACCAGGGGACCCGGTCTAGAGGAGGGTCGGCAAAACTTGCGACCCCTAGGAGTGTGGCCACAGGTTAAGCTGGTGAGCGGCGTAGCGAATGGCGAACGACCACAGAAACTGGGGTGCACCAGCATGGATCATTGAGGTACGAGCCACCTCCATGATCAAACCGATGCGTCACTCAGCGACCCCATTCTGCTGTGGGGAGTCCGGCAGGGTGTACGATCGGGTGATGCCCTCCGCACGACAGAACTGGCCAAGCCGACCGGAGGCGAACTCACCGCCACAGTTGGAGTGGAGACAAAGCAGTGGCAGGCCGTGGTGTACTCGCGCAGCTTTGACCCACGGGATAAGAACGTCAGGCACGTTGGCCTTCCGCTCCATGGGAAACACCGTGCTGTAGCACGTGTAGTCGTCCACGAGCACCAGAAAGTAGCCCTCGTCACCTGACGCGGCCCGAGGACGGGGGCTGGGCCCCAAACGTCAAAATGCTGGGTCTGGAGTGGCGCAGTGGTGGGGGGAAACGAGGAGGAGTGAGGAGCACGGCGCAGCTGGCCCTCGACACAGGGTGTGCATGGAGGTACGGGCGAGGGAGGGAGGGCAGGGAGCCATGCAGGGAGACCTAAGACAAGAATGGGCTAGGACATGTAATGAAAACACGGGAGTGTGGGGTGACCTAGGCAATGGTGCCACAGAAGCGACGGGTGAGTGAGCGACCGACAAGATCAAGCCGCTGCGACTTGAGTAGACGCGGCCACCTAGGGGAACGCCCTCACAGGGGGGGAACGCCACTATAGGGGGGTGACACGGTGTCAAGCGTGAACAGACCAGACACCGGGTCCTGGGGGAACGTGGTGAGGGGGGCACTAGTTGCGGCCTCAGTACAGACTGCGTACCGCTCGCATTTAGGAAGCGTAGTGGTGACGCTGAGGTCCTGAAGACAGCCGACACCAACTAAGTTCCTCGAGAAGGAGGGGATGTGCAAGCCTGTAAGGGAGCCTGAGGAAACCGCCAGACACGGAAGGGTGGTAGAGCTACTTGCAACTATCGGACCTGAGGAGGGGGCAGCAAGCGCTACACCTGCAGGGGCGGCAAGCGGCGTGAGCGTAGTGTGGTCGTGAAATAAGCAGGCATATGCACCATAGTCCCGCGTTAAGGAGAGCGCGGCGGTAGTGTCAGCTGGTGGGGGCACTAGCGTGGAGCCTAGGCTAAACAAAGCAAAAGATCCTATGCCTGACGCAACAGGGGAGCCTAGACTATGCACAGTGGACACACCTACACGAGGAAACACTGGGTAATAAGGTCGAGTCACACTAGAGTCATGAGCATACAAAGCATATAAAGCAGAGCGAATGTGATCCATATCCACCTCAAAGACCGGCACACGACGACGTACCAGGTTGTGCCAGTCAGGGAGGTCCAGCGCTGGGCCGAATCGGAGACAGAAGGGGTCGTCGAGGCGGCTGTAGTGGCGGATGGCGGTGGGACGTGGTCGGTCGCACACGGTACCTTGGCAGGGGCCACAGCAACCGCCACCACCAAAGACGCCAGGCCACCACGGCAGCGGAGGTCCCCG